TGCTGTGTAGACTTTCAATGGAGTTTTTAATCTCCTGGAAATCTGTTTGCATCTGTTTTATGGATTCCATTTGTTTCCTATGTTGCGATTCCATCATGTTCCTCAGCTCCTCTATTTTTTTTTAATCTGTGTCCACTCTAGATTAATCATGTCTTGTACTATGGGCACAATCTCTACTGCTATCTGAGAAATTATTTCTAATTCCATTTTTTCCATGTCTTGTTTCATTGTCAGTTCAGGAAGTCCAGGTGGTTGAGTAACAGATTGTTCCATCTTGTTTTCCTTTAGGGTTACCTTAGGTGATCTGGAAGTCTGGTTTTGAGATTTATTTATGTGTCTTCTCATTTCAACAGATGCAACCTGTTGTGTCTTTGGTGAGTTGACTTTTTGCTCATCTGGTGATCTTTAATTCTTAGCAAGCCACCAAGCAGCCTTTAATCCGTTGCTCACCAGTATATCAATTCCTGTGTTCAGAATGGTGGCCTTCTGGATCCCTGAGCTGAGCTGTTGTCTGGACAGGCTTCTGGCTGGGCCCTGTGCACACTTGGGATGGTATCTAGATGTGTCTCTCACTGGGGGCCCCTATGTAGCTGTTGTCTGGGAGGGCCTTTGGTTGGGGGCTGTGCACCCCAGTTCCTATTGTCTGCACAGGCTTTGTCTAGGGTTACCATGCACTTATCAATGGTATGGGGCAAGCTTCTGGGTATTGCTTGTGTGCCTGTACAGCTCTTCTCCAGGCAGGTCCCTGGCTGTGGCCGATGGTATTGTGGGCCTCTGGTAGAAGCCTGCGCACCCATGCAGCTCCTCTCTGGGGGTGGCCCTGGCCTGGGCGGGTGTGCAGGAGCCTCTGGGGTCAGGGAAGACCCCAACTTGGATCGGCCTGCAGCTGTGGTGGTCTGGGCTACACAGCTGCTCCTTTGGATCTGCACATACTCACCAATGGAATGGTGTGACTCTGTGAGTGACTTTTTTGCCAAATGGAATGATTGTTTTGGATAGAAGAACATTTTCATTTTGTGTGTGACTCACAATGTAACAGTTACAGATGGCACATTTTTAACATTTTTTTCCTCATTGCCTTAAGACTATAGTAAATCAATGAAACCATAAATCAAGCCCTACTGTGCAGTACTTGATTTCTGTGGTACAAAACTTCTACCAGGCCTGAGACTATAGCTCAGTGGTATAGCACTTGCCTCCCATATGTGAGGCCCTGGGTTCCATCCCCAGTATCACAAGCAAGCAAACAAACAAACAACCTCTTACCATACAGTCTTTTTAAGCTTCTAATGTAAAATTATCAAATGTGGACTAGGAACAGATGACCAGTAGTATATTTTACAGCATTTATACCATAGGAGAATAAAATAAATAAAAATAACCTCAAGAATATAGATAATAATAAAAATATAGTAAAATAATCAAGATGTTTTGAAAATTTTTATTACCTTTGTTTTTAATATAACATAATTATAAATTGATATAATTTAGTTTTAAGAAATGCTGTGTTTAACAACTAGCTTACAAAATTCCTGAAAATTTAACAGCTGGTCTGAGCCAGGCTCCAACAAACCACAGGCTCTTGGGGAGGTTGCTTAATCTCTGTGAGCTTCATTGTGCCTCTCTATAAAATGGGTAAGGTCCCTGGCCAAGGCCTAGCCACTTAGTAAGCAAATGGCAACAGTAACTATGATTTCTACCTGTGGTGGATTAACTAATGGTCAACTTGGAATGCCTAGCTAAACTGAGTCAGTGTGGTTCTGGGCATGGAAGACCTACCTGAGAATTGTTGCCAACAACATAAAAGGAGAACTGAAGGGGAAGATCACATGCTATTGATTTTCTTGTAGAAGCTTGCTTTGGCTGGTTTTCCTCATACAAACAGGGCTGTTCTTATCATCAGAGGAGCTTAGGTCCTCACTGTTGCTGGGGATAGCTGCTGTTCTCTTCAGGGGAGCTCTATTCTTCACCTTGAGTGTTGTTTCCTGGCTCTAGTGCATATCCCTCAGCCTGGTGGCTCAGATCTTTCACCCCGCTGGCATAGACTTTCTAGCTTCCACCACTGCCCTTTGGGCCTTCTCAGTGCAGACCCTTGATATGGATTTGCATGAGACATTTCTGTGGGTTCTAGGCCTATGGCTGGACTCGTGGAGGACATTGCCTTGGGCTCTAGGCTTTTATCTGAACTTGTGTGGGACACTGATGTGGGATCTGGGCCCTTGGCTGGATTCTTCAGGTCTCTAGGGTGTGGACAGGTCTCTTGTACTCCTCTGCATTTGACTTTTGGGTGAATATTATAAAATAATCCTATAGATTATGTGTTCTATATTAAATCTATGCCCTTGCAAACCCTGACTACAACACTATCCATTGTATTATCACTGCATTATCTATAACAAATACTTCACGTAGAATTAGTTTCCCTGCTCTTACTGCTCTCAGCACTCAATGATCACTGTACTTTCATCCCTTTGACCTCTGTGCAGAGAATGCACAGACATAAAACAGATGGTCAGTCCACACACACACACACACACACACACACACAACCAACAATGGGCTATCAAGCAACCAGAATGTAAAGAAGATCTGGATCCCCTCTCATTTGTATGATGTGCAAAGCCACCAAAAGTTACCAATATTTCCTGTGTAAACAGGGGCCATGAAAGGGTAGAAGACCAGTTGTTGCAGCTATCTCGAAGTGGCTAGGGTGTTTCACAAATACAGCAGTGTGCTCCTACCCTGCCATCCCCTGGTTCTGTACCCTTCCCACCACCAGCAGCAGATCCCTCAGCCTCACCTGCTCAGCCTTCTGGTGGAACACAGCAGACATGGCCAGGATGGTGCTACGTTCGTCCAGAGCAGCGGCAAAGCTCTTCCACTCCTGGTCCAGCTGTGTGGAGATCTGCTTGATTTGCTGGGAGGCATAATGGCCAGCCTCAGAGAGGCGGGAAGCCACGGACATGATGCGGTTGATGTTGACATAAGCATTCTGGGAGGCAAAGGAGAGTGAAAGCTTAGTAGCACAGGCTGAAAAGATATCCATCAGGCCCTTTCGGGTGGGTGTTTATTTGGGTAAGGGCAGGGGGAACTGAAACAAAATGTTTGAGAGAGGCTAGTATAGGCCATATTGGTATACCTGCTCTAGGCCTAAGTGAAACCTTTCCTTATGACCTAAAATCCTGGCAGATGGCAGGCAGGGACAGTAACTGAGACCTCTCTTTCTGAGGAACCAGTGTAGATTTTGAGTCAGCTATTAATATACTATTAATGCAGTCACTTTGCATGGACTATTGTACATAACCCTCACCACTATCTAATGAGTTCACCCTGAGGAATAGTACAGTCCTTCCAAGGGCATTTACTAAAAGTAATGGCTCAGACTAGGATACAAGTGGAAGGAGGTAAAGACATCTCTCTTGTTCAGGACAGGGCTATACCCAGTGTGTCACTGTCATTCACAACATGGCAGCAATGCTCACCAAAGAGGGTAAAGGAAACAGCGATTCTGTATGTTCCTGTCACTGACCAAAAATATTCCTCTCATTCTCCCTTCTCTCTGTCCCCCACCAAGAGCTGAGCCATTGGCAATTAGTCAGGGTTTACATAAAGAGAGCATTCGGAGCCATTACATTTTGCTATGCTAAAAATAAGGTATGTGGCAGTTATCTCTGCTTGACTTGGGAAGATTTCCCTACCTGATGTCAAAAGACATCTGTGCATATCCCCAAAAGCTTGGGTGGGGACTCTCTTGACCTGCTGTCTCCTTTCATCTTGTGTTTTGTTTACATTCATTCCCATTCTTGCTTGCCAATTAAAAATTCATGAACATGTGTGTTGTTTCCTAGTAAGCCAGTAAAAACCTCTCCAAGAAGGAGAAAGCAAAAGAAAATTCCTACAAACATAATACAGTAGTGATCTGGGTTATTTTTAACTGCATCAAAACAATCAAGTTATATTGTGGCACTTTTCTGAATCATACACCATCTGCCTGAAGGACAGGGGAGGCGGGTTATCACACACTTTCACTCTTTGTTACTGGTCTTCTCAAAGGACAATAAATACTCTTGTCAGCACCAGCATTTTCTCTAAGCACGACTAGCTCAGGTGTAGTTCATTAATGCTGGGTTGGTTTGATGCAGGTTCTTTATTTTCCTCTACCACATCCCTCATGGTCACCATTCATCTCAGCTGTCCCTAATCTCCAAGTACTCCATCCCAATGTGGGACAGCTTGATAAGTTCTCTCTTATTTATAAAGGTCTCTATGAAAGTTTAAAAGGTTAAGTGAGGTACTTAACATAAATCTATCCTGATGTCTAATGACCTCATGAGCCATGTCTGTTTTTAGCTTGGTGTGAGACCCTCCTGACACAGTGCATTTCTCTAATAGAGCCAGAATAATACAGACCACTGTTATGTGAAATAACTACCCTTCAGAGATTAGGAATCATTATCAGCCCTATTTTCAGAGCTAGGACACAAAGTCTATTGGAAATTAAACTCTATTTATAGAACTGAAAGAAAAACACTGTATTTAGAAATAGAAGAGAGAAAGAAAAAAAAAGCATGTACTTATTTTAATAGTTTTGGCTTCTAAGGGAATAACATTGAAATCCCCCCAAATTTCCCATTCTTGTCACTGTCTTAGTTTGGGTTCTTCCCAAAGCAGATCTTGAGACAGGGTTTAGGGCAGATAGTTTATCTGGGCATGTTCCCAGGAAGTACAGTGAGGGAGAGGAGAAGTTAGAAGAAGGGGGTGAAATGAAGAAGGGATATTTTACTTAGTGGGGTAGTGTTATGAGTAGCTGGGGTTCAATGCCTCTGGGGATCTTTTGAGAAATTCTATAAAACACACCTCCAAGCTGTCCCCCTGCAGGGTGAAGAATACAGGCTATACATGCACTCAGTCCTATTGTTCACTGGTCGAAGTTCCCTCCTGGGGTAAGTTCCTGGAATTTCCACCCTGACCCACACATAGGCCAAGCATGCACTGAAGGTCAGAGAAGGACCCTGACAAAAAAATGCAGGAATTTTTCAGTTTGCATGGTAATTGAGTGACTCCCAGGGAGGGCAGAGGGGATATGAATGGACACTGACAGTGTCTGATAGAGCTGTCCTCCTAAACTGGGTTCGAAGCCTAGACTCAACCCCCACACCACCATTTATCGATCTAGGTCAGGTATTCAGTTTTCCTGTCCTGAGAAAGGCCTTGTATACAGCTTGGGCCAGATGGAATGCAAGAAAAGCAGGGTATTACCTTGTCCTCAAGTGCAGCCAATGGATGGCCAGCCTTCTCTCCTCATGGCCTATTTACATTCTCCTCCTACCCAGGGAACACAGGGAGGTAAACTTGCCAGCTATTAGAGATGTCCCACTGTGGGTGCCTCCAGAAACTGTTAACAGCTTGTCACTCATTCAAATATTTATGGAGAGTGGGCCGGGCTCTGTGTTGGGGGCAGTCCGAGATCAAAGAAGAATGAGACAGGATTCCTACCCACCCATCCTTTGGCTTCAGGGGCTCACAGCTGCGACTTAAGACAAATCCTCAAATAATTGTAATTTAAATCAAATGAAGTAAAAGCTCCCATAGAGGTAGAAGCAAGTCCCTGGGGAGATTAAGAGGGAAGGGGTCTGAGCTACTAGCAGGGACACTGGGAAGGGGCTTCTTGCACCAGCCAGATGGGGTAGGGAGGCTGGCAGCTCTCCCAGGTCCCTTCAGTCCCTAAACCTATGATCACAGATGAAAACTAAAAACAAACAAACAAAACTGCCAAACTTACACTAGACCAGCACAGTAAATATTTTCATGTTTTCTTATCAGTGGAAATCTTACTAAAACTAACAAATAACTATGCTTCACAAAATAAGTAGAGGCAGTATCTCTTACAAGAGAGGGATAAATTGTTGACTTGTGTATTTGCTCAGTTTTTCCCTAGAGCTCCTTTTCACAACACTCAGACAAGTTACATTGTGCAAGTTCATCATCTTCCTTGTCATTTCCTTTACCCTGAACCAGAAAGAAATGGGTGGACAGATTCTCAACTGCAATTGTCCCTGAATACAAGGACAGCTACAAACCAAATGAGAAGAGAGAAATGGCAGAGGTCTCCAATGACTTAAAAGGAAAGAGCAAGGCTAAAGAGTTGGACTAGGAATATGAATAAACAGGAGTACTTAATCATTAGGCATAAATGACATTTCACAGCCTTGGTCAACTATCACGTGGCTCTTCTATGTGACTATGCCTCTGCGAAGGAACACTTGGGAATTATGTTTGTCCTTGGGACATGGCTAGCAGGAATGGATATTTTGGCTCTTTTTGGCCTTTCCATCTCCTACCAGCTGCCCCCTCCACCCTCTCCCATCTGCCTGGCTCTCCCATTCTTCCCTGCGAGCTTCAGACGCCTATCTGCAGAGCTGTCCATCAGTTCAGGGAATCAAGTCCCTGGGCCAGGAGTGAAGAGATATGAGCTCTGGGGGTCTGACTACTCTGTGTTTCAGTTTCCTTAGCTACAAAATGAGGAAGCTGAATTAACTGATCTTAGACCTTCCATTTTTGAGTAAGCAGTGCCCAGGATGCAAGGATAGTAGTCCTGCCCAATCCAGAGGTACTCACAGCTCAGCCTTGCTGTCCTTGTGCCTCAGCACCTCATTCCAGCTCTGTTCACTGCCTTTAGTTCGAGTGCCAAGGCTGGAGTTGGACACTCTCAGATTCCAGGTGACCAAGGACAATCTGCCCTTCTCTCTCTCTCCTCTTCAGCCCCTTCCCCCAAGCTGCTCATACTAACCAGCTTCTCCAACCAGAAACAAACAACTTAGCTAGTAACTGGCTTGAAAAACATCTTCTTAAATTCTTACATCAAAACTGTTTTATTAAATTTAGATTCCTCATTTATATGCAGTACCATTACTATTACCATTAATCAAAGTACAGCATAGTTCACACTGTACCTACGACATGATCTACCATGTAGCACATACCTGCAGCACAGTCTGCGGCATCATCCAGCCATGCTACTTCCCTTCAAAGCCTCGTACACATCATTTTGGCCACAAACAAGAAAATTAACTAAATTTTGGCAAAATCTTGGTAATTCAAAACTCCTTTATATTGTCACCCTGTCCCCACTTTTGCTACCCAAGAAAAAAATGTCTCCATTTTCTTGTTTCATTTCTGACGTCATTGATTGGAGATCACAGGATGGAGGCCCCTTCTCCTGAGGCCTTGTCTCTTGCTCTGATTAACTGATATCAATGGAGCAGAGATATTCTCCTGAAAGAACAACTGGCATCCATATCATCCATGTCAAAAGGGCTCCCATTTTTAACTTGGTTCCTGGTCTACTCCAACTGACTATAAAAATATGCAACATTGCTTGCAAGATAATTTTCCATTAAAAGGCACACCCAAATTTTCTCTGTGAATGAGGCTTCTCCTGCAGTATATTCTGGAAAAAAAACCCCAAAACCTGGTTCTTCTAGAAGCAGTCATTTAATGAAAGCTATGATTTTGCTAACCTTTAAGCTCTATGACAGGGGCTGATTGTAAAAGAAGATCATAACCAACAATGTGCATTATTTGAATCCAATTCACTTCACTCCTAAAAACAGGGACAAATTTTACACTTCTATGGTCATAGGTCTTTACTCTGAATCAGAAATCCTGTAGTCACATGAGATAAAAAAAAAAGCATCCATCCAGTTGTCTGGCCTGTAACCATTAATGCAATGAATATCATATCTTTTCCCTCATCCAGTTCTAGCAGACTGGCATTAATGTCCCAAATTGTGTAAACCAAATCAAAGTATCAGTAAAAAGTACTACAAAAAGAAAAGTCTATCAGTTATTCCAACAAGAGGCAAAATAAGTAGCCAAAGTCACACTGTACATACAGAGAGCAAATCACAATGCCTGCTACTATTCCCAGAAGAGGCCATTTCCCCAGGATCTGCCCCAATGTCCCAGCTCTACAGCTATCAGAGCAGACCC